CAACCGAGTTGAAGCAGAATTGATGATGAAGATATCATGGAAGAAGTCCTAGTAGAGTCTAGGGAAATTTTTATGATTATTTGGACACATTCGTATGTGTTAAATCGTTTTGTAATTTTAGGAAATAAGAACTTGGGGACTGCGAGACAATACTTGTGACGAGTATGAGTAGGTGTGAAAGGTAGTAGAGACTTATACTACCGGAAGCACATGACTCGCACTTGGATCAGTGAAAGTCACAAGGTTACCAAGGTGCTAGTAATTGATTATGTTTTGTTCATGTCTGTCGTTACCATCGTTTCGGTAACGACTAAGAGGTTGATTGTTATTCCGACCCTAGTGGTCATATCATATCGAATCCGGATGTGATGAGTATGTTACATGGTTCAGAGAACCAAGATCAATGTAGCATCTGACTTAAGCCAGAAGATTGGAGTAAAAGATAATCGAAGCGATCAATTGGAGTATCGCAATCACCGGGAAAGTAAGAAACTTGTAGCTAGAAGTGCTACATGCTAGAATGTGATTATATCACATTAGAACATGAAGGAAGGTATCTTTCATTCTGGAATTTGATTCTAAAAGACCTGAGTCTAAGTGTTGCATCATACGATGAGAGATCATTAGAATATGACCCATCGGTCTGTCACGATAATCGAAGTAAAGAACTTATCTTAAGTTAAGTCTGTTTACGAAGGAGCAGGAGTCTCCCATAAAGATCAGGTTTCTAAGCTGAAGGTTACGATTGAAATTCCAACATAGTATGAAGACCGAGTGCAAGATTAAGCATTGTCAGCAGTCAAGAAATCCAAGAGTTAGATACTTATTTTAAAGGACATAAGAGTTACGGCTATTACCTATGATCAAAAGATAACGTATGGAGTCATTATACAGGCCCTGTTTTGTTGATGATTCCGGGACGTAATCATCCTAAGGGGAGATAATTGTAACACCCGCAGATTCGGGCTAGTCAATTTAGAGACATTAAGCGTTAAAATGACTTTTTGATAGAAGATTATTTAGAATAGATATTCTTAACCAGAGTTATAGTATGTGTCACAAGTATTCCTTGCATATAAAGAACGTTGAAATCCGACTTATAACGAAGAAGTTATGACTCATCGAAGTTTTGTGATTAAACTGACACGGCTCCGCGTAACGTAAAAAGTGAATTTTTGACGAAATAGTTTTTAGCCTTAGCGATCCAAACGAAAGTCTTAGTATACGTTAAACCGAGAGGGTGCATATAAAGATTGTCCAAATCTGACTTCGTTAGAGGAAGTTAAGATTTTTATAAAATTCAGCTTAACAGTATAAAGCTCGGAAATCGAATTTTAGATCGATCGATTTTTAGCCGACACAACCTAAACAAGAATTGAAGATCTTGTTAATAGGAGCTCAACGATATAAAGACAGTTGAAAACGGACTTCGGACGACAGTTATGAATTTTTAACGAACTTTACCTGTCTAAGCCTGTTAAAATATAACTTTAAAAATGAAGTCAAAATATTCTTAATGCCATGGAGTTAGTTTCAGCAACAAAGGAGAGTCTAAATGATTTCAGGAACAACGAATGGGAATCTTTACTTGAACAGGTAAAGATTTTTTGTGAGAAACATCAAGTAGATATGTCAGATATGAAAGCTCCATATACTTCTACTAGATACCGACCTCGAAAAAACGATAATCAGTTTACTTTTGAACATTTTTATCGAGTAGATTTGTTTACATCCACATTGGACAAACAGTTACATTCGTTGAATAGTAGATTCAATGATCAAGCGATGGAGTTGTTAAGTCTTAGTTCTACTTTAGTTTCAAAAGAACACCTTAAAGTGATTAATGCTGATCAGATTTGTCTTCTTGTTGAGAAGTATTATCCTGAAGATTTTACAGAGCAAGAGAGAATTCAATTACGATATCAGTTGGATATTTTTAATAGCGATATGACAAAGAATCCCAGGCTAAGTCGTGTATCAACTATTACTGACCTATGCAAGGGTCTTGTGGAAACTCAGAAACATAAGACATATTATTTGCTTAATAGAGTGGTCCGGTTAATCGTGACACTTCCAATTTCTACCGCAACAACAGAGAGGAGATTTTCAGCAATGAAAATATTCAAGAACCGCATTCGCAATAAGATATCAGATGACTTTCTCGCAAACAACTTGGTGGTTTACATAGAAAGAGAAATTGCTGAAAACATTGATACGCAATCGGTAATTGATGAATTTAAAGACCTTAAAGGTTGTCGGGCTGAGTTGTAATTCTTCTTCTATGTATTTTTGGTGTTTAATTGTTGAAAAAAAATTGATTTCTTTTTATGTGTAAGAACAGTAATTTTAGGTATTTTTGGTGAGTAAGTTTAGCTATTTTTGGTGTTTAATTGCTGATTTTTCTTTTAGTTCTTTCATGTATAAAAACATTAATTTTAGTTTCTAATACTCCCCCCCCCCCCCCCCCCCCCCCCCCCCCCCAAGTTTTAATCGTTCAAGCTCCGCCCCTAGACATAAATATTTATATGGATCATGTCGAGATTGAACTTTTATGACTCGTCAACTCGTGACCTTTCAACCCAAACCCGACACAATTGTCATCCTAAATAAGATCATAAAGACAAACATGCAAAGAAGAAAAGAGAGCACTCAAATATCATTCTACTACCATTTTTCTACACACTTAAAATTGTGACACACTTGTTATGTTTAATAAAATTAATACACTTTTATTACACTTATCGTCATATAAAAGTAATAAGACGATGAATAGGAAGAATAAGGAGAAAGATATGTAATTTCTAAAAAAAAAAGAATATATGAAGTTCGTAAAAAATAATTGAGTAATTGACTATTAACCAGCATTGACCATTTATACCGTTGACTATATAATTTGACTATTGAAATATTTATGTAATTGACTCGTAAAATATTTTACATAAATAACTATTAGTTATATATTTACATTAAGATACGTTTGAAATTAAATGTTGTTATTTTGTAAATAAATAAGTAAAATTAATTATTACGCCATAAACCCATGAATAGCATGGTGCGATGTCTCCCATTTCAGAACCACTTCCCTCTAGAGGAAAAAAATCTAGGACAAATGGCAAGAGCTCCCAAAGCACTGCAATTTAAGATGAAGCAAGAAGGTACCACCGCCAACAATGGTGGTGGCGAGTCATCATTCCGGGTGTTGTACTACGGGGATGCATCAGCTGGATCTGTGCCCTTCATGTGGGAATCACACCCAGGTACCCCTAAACACCCAACCACCGATCAATCCTCTCTCCCACCTCTCACTCCGCCACCTGCTCTCCGATACAACTCCTCAAATCCCTCCACTTCCCTCCGCAGCCTTTTACTTGCTTCCGATTCCAAAAAAACCTATCTGCCGGCAGCACCATCTTTGTCGACGTCTGAATTATCATCCATATCTTACGGTGATTCCTCAAAGCCCACTTCTCTCCGCAGCCTTTTTCTCGCTTCTGGTTCCCAAAAAGCTCACGGGACGGCGGCCCCTCCGTTGTACTCTACTCTATCGCATTCGTTGCCTTCAACTCCGATGAGTAAAGAGAGACGCAAGACGGAGTTCCGGCGGAGGAAGGCGACGATGAAGTTAGACATGAGTGAGGATAGTGTTGAGAAGCACGTGGGTGGCGATGGTTCACCGACGTTGACGCTGTGCTTTGGTGGCGGTTTAAATGAAGATTTATAGGAAGAAGAAAGTGACGGGTGCAGTAATGTCGATCGGAAGTCATGGTAAGACACAGAAAGTAAATTGATTAACAACGTCTTTGTAGTCAGATTTGCATTGTTCATATTTGTTTTGTTTTTTTTTTGGTTAAAAAAATATTTGTAAATTTTCGGTAGTTTAACATTAAGGTGGATAAACAAAACGATATAGCATTTAAGGACTTCGATCACTGACTAACCAGTAACCACAAAAGTGGTTGACTGGCAATGTGGTGAGATATGATCGTATGAACATCTTTGTTTTCTATATATCACTACTTCTCTTTATAATTAATTAATTAAAAGATATTTTTTTTATTTAAATAATTAAAAATAAAAAGGATATCCTGATGTATAGCGGTATACCACTTAATCCTCATACTTTTCTTTGTATTTATTTCTTACTAATATGAAATAACGATAAGTATTTTAAAATATTATTAATTACTAATATGAAATAATGATAAGCGTTTTAAAATAATATTAATTACTAATATGAAATAATGATAAATGTTTTTAAAATATTATTAATTCTATAAAAATGTAACACTTATTATTATTTTATATGGATAAGAATATAAATAGAAAAAACGTGTAAAAAGATATTTAATTTCTAATAAAGAACATATTAACAAGAACAACCCCAAGCAACACTATGAACTATTTTTTTTATAATAAATTTGGTGTATAATAGTTCCAAACAAAATATTTGTACTTATATCACTATGATGTTGTAAAATGTAAATTAATAAAAGATCATATTTAATAGGATGTTACATTATTCATTTGTATCAATCGGTTGTTAACTTTTTTTTTTTTTTTAATATAATAGTTGAAATTAGAACACCCGTTTGTATACAGTTTTATTTTATTATTTATATATTGATATCTTCTTTGTATTATTTACCATTTAAGTTTCATATTATATAATAAGTTAAATTTATATATTATATTAGGAAAATTGTCAGAAAATCCCAATATTTTCGAAAAAATTTCACTTTAGTCCCAATATTTTTTTTTGTACTGAAAAAATCCCGATTATTTGATTTTCACAATAATATGTCATTTTTGTGAAAAAAAAAGATTTTTTTTGTTAGTTTGAGCCAAATGAAATAATCCGGACTTTTATGTTCAAACAAAACAAATTTAAAATTAAAGTGAAACTTTTTCAAAAATATTGGGATTTTTTTTGATAATTCCCCATTATATGTGAATAACTTATGTAAATTAAAGTTTTATCGTAGAACAAAACAAATATTAACCCACAGTCAAATCCAAACATAATCCGGGTAATGGGCATTATTCATAGATTTCCTAGGGATTACCCATATTTATTTTTCACTCTGATTACCCTTGGATTTATGTCTCACGTACTTTTTATCCACATATGTTGCAATTTGAGGGTAATCCGTAAGTAATACCTATATAAGTTACTCATAAGGGGGTGTTTTCTAAAAAAAAAATAGGCAGTTTTCAAAAAGATTGCTTTTCATATCTAATATGTGGGTTAAGATAACATTAATTGTATAAAATTTAGATCATTACATCTAACACTTCATCATTTTCTTTTTTTTTATATAAAATTAACCATTTGATGATTAAAGGGTAATTATCTAAAAAACCCTTACTTTTAAATCTAAAGTTTTGGTTTGCCAAAATTGATGTTTTTTTTCTTCTTATTTTGTCCTTATTAAATAAGAGATATATCAATAATGAATGAATATCCGATTTCAAGTAATTCTCTCAAAAACCTTTCCACGTTCTCATCCAAAACCCTTTGCATCTCATTTCTTGAAAACACGTGAAAACAGAAAAGTTGAATCATACGTATAATATTTTTGTGTCTAAAATGCCCCTGCTAAATAACAAAACAAATCAACAATAAAACAACAAAACGACACATACATGATTTTTATGCCCAAAATACCCCTGCTTAACATAACGGCCAAAAGACATGATAATTCCAGTGTGCCAGAATACCCCTATGCATCTAAACATAACAACAACACCTGTAATGCAAAAAACTACCAAATCATAAAAAGGAAGCACAAAAAACCCCTATGCATCTAAACATAACAACAACGCATGTAATGCAAAAAACTACCAAATCATAGAAAGGAAGCACAATGAACAAAATAACATTGTGCATCAAAACTAAACTTAATTACTTAATGGGGAGTATTTTTACATTCAGAACCTAACATCAAATTGTACAACCATCTTTACAAATGGCCAAAACATGATTGTTCAAAAAGGCCTATTTAAATACCATAAAAGTTGACACATACATGAAATGTTGACAAACAATTAGATGTTTGTTACCAAAAGTTGAAAGAAAAAGGCAAGCATTTATTGTTTCCCCAATCTACCCCCTTTGCTGAGCACTCTTACTCCAATCGAATGACCTGGTCCATAGAAGAACCACCCATACCCTTGTCATAAACTAGATTCTTCAACTTGAACTTGATTATCCTCTCTGAAACTTTTCTTTTGACTGGCACTTTGGCTTGGGAAACTTGTGTATTATTCATTACTTTCAGCAACCTTCTGTTACAGATCACTGTATTAGTAAACTTCTAATCAATATTAAAAAGTATATAACTATGAAATTATGGTTAGCATACCATTCCTTCCAAAGCCAAATCAATCTCATCAGGTAAATACGTAGACATCTCCATATCCCTTTTTAACAATTTCCTGATTCTTGGTAAAGGTCCATCATCAAACATATAATCATGAACATCATTGCACTCCGAGTTAACCTCATTAACTCTACCAAGTTGAGAAGCATCACCTTTTGGCATCTAACCAAGATCATGAGAAATGAAATACTCAACATGTTGTTTAACTTAAGGTGGGACACTTTTAGTTGTATTTCAGACTTTCCCCCTCTCCTTATTGCAATCTTTTTCTCCCATCATCAAAGTTATTTGTTTTGACATGCGAGGGACCTTCACTTTTCTTCTTTGTTTTGGATTTTATCTACCTTCACATTACCTCCTTGGTCTTCCTACTTTTTTGGAAGTTCTGGATCTTTTCGTACTTGTTCATTTTTCCATGACTTTATATTGTGCCCTAGTACTAAACACCTACCAAACTTATTGGTCCTATTAACCATAATTCTAACACTCGGATATTTGGAATCATCCTCAATCACATGCCTCTTCTTCTTAGCCTTAGGCCTTCTAGGAATCCTCTTAATAAAAGGAGGTAAGGGTTTGATATAATCAGTGTGGGCCCACATATTGCTACCATTTACATGTAATAAATTTGTAGTATAAGTTGCTTCATATTTGGCCTTACTAAACCAAGTACGTATGAAATCTACTGGTGTCAAATTGATAAAATTTATTGCAACCTGGGCATGAACACATGGCACCCCTGAAATCTCTCACATCCTGCAACTACAACAATAAGCATCCAAATTCACTTAATAAGTTACATACGCATATCTTGTCTCAAACATATCTCATCTACTTGGTATCAATTTCTAGTACATATAAATGTTTAGGAAACTATTCAGAATATGTTCATATATATAACTAAATTAACAAACATACCTCATATCTTTACCAAATTCTTCCATTTTTCGTATGAAGGATGTATAAACTTCAGTTCTCCATGATGTTGATGTTTCACTTGTATGGTAGAAGCTTTCCATCATGTAGATTCGGATCTCCTCTAAAGGTGTAAGTAGAGGCTTTTTCCATTTAAAAGTGTTTCCCATTTAAGGCTTATTTGTGATATGTGCTTAAAGGATTAAGAAGTACTTCATACAATATGAGAACTAGCATTTTTGGTGGCATATACTTGTTGGTGGATATATTATCAAGAAACTTTTTCTTGAGTTTTTTTCTATCTTCAGTAACTCCCCAAAACCAAGTGAGATAAAAGTCTTCAAAGTTTGTAGCTCTAAACATCCTATGTTTTGTTTATAATCTTTCTATATCATGTAATTGGATCCTTCATGGTTTTGTTTAAAATGATCTTAAAAAATAGTCATTTTAAAAAATTATTTTCACTGCCGTTTAAAATTGTTTTATATAAAAAAACAAATTGCTTCCCAAAACCCACGAGTGGCATCAGAGCCTATTTTAAATGTAAGAAATATTTATTATCAAGTTTAATAACCTTTGGTTTTGAAAATATGTGATAGTGTCATATTTATTCATATATTTATTCATTATTTTAATACATTTGAGCTATATTTTGGTAAAATACAAAGATATTTGGTACTTATATGGTTTAAATTCTATTTTGTAGGAAAAAAGGACATTCTCTAGGAAAAAATACTGAAATTGAAGAAAGCTAGAAACTTGGAGCTTGGAGGTTACATTGAGAGGAAAAAGGAGAAAAAATCAAGCATAATGAAGTTCTCACATCGTGGAAAATTAGATTCCACGACATGACGTTAGGAATCTTGTTGATTCATGCATGAAGAAGTTCTCATGTCGTGAACATCTATTGGTTATGATGTGAAGATGTGTCAATCATAGAACCTTCCCCAACATTCATGGAAGCCTTGGTGCATACGTAATTAAGATGTTTCTCAAGACGTGACACTCATACTCTCACGACGTGAAATCTAAATTAGGGCTAGTATATATTTCGGACTTTAGGTCGAAATCAAAACACTTTTTCTCAAGAGTTGCAATTAAAAGGCGACAAAAACCCTTCTAAGAACCCTTGGAATGCAGAATACAATTAGAAAACAAGAGTTAGAGAGATTGGAGCAAGAATTCAACATTAATCTTTCGGGTTGCCTAGATTTAATCATGCTTAACCTAGCTTACTACTTGATTATGTGTTTTACTTCTGTAATCATGGGCTAAAACCCTTTTACTTCCGTTAAGATTAGATGTACCATAATGTTATGTGTTAGTTTCTCTTTTATTGGATTAATGAAGTCAGTTTAGTTAGTGTTTTGATAATTCACTACCTAGTATGTTAAAAGTTTCAATCTTTATTGCCTAGCTTCCAAGT